CATTCGTGGGAAAAGAGGTGCAGTCCCCTGCTCTACTGTCAGCGGGTCCGCTTATCTCAAGGGTTGTTTTTGGTATCGCACTTCCAGTGATCTTCATCTCGGGCTCGATCAACACCACGGTGGTCTGTCGGTATATTCACGGAAAGGTATACCGCAACTCAGTTGTCCGGTACATCAACACCCCGAGGGGCTGGATTACATGGCTCGGGCTTGTGCTGTTCGTTACCCTTCTCGCGTGGGTTATTGCTGAGGCCATCCCTGTCTTCTCTGAGCTACTATCCATCATTTCATCACTGTTCGTGTCGGGTCTATCCTTCTATCTTCCACCAGTCATATGGTATGTCCTTCTGAGAGAGGGCGCATGGTATGAAAAGCGCAACTTGAAGACTGCTATGTACAATGGCGTGGTGTTTATTGTGGGCATGATCGTCTTTGGATGCGGCACGTACTCCAGTATTGCCGAGCTGGTGAGCTCCCTCCGTCTTGAATTGGCCACTTGTGAGATACTAATGTGAGCTTGGTAGGTTCATAAATTCCAGTCAAATTCCATTAGCAAGCCTTTCACGTGTTCCACTTGAAGCCTGACAGGGATGCTCAAGGCATGGAATAGATTCGCTATGGGTATGAAAATGATCGATAAGACAACTATTGTATTTGCAAAATATCGTTACGACTGAACTAGCTCCGGTAAAGCAATCTCCATATTGAAAACACTTTATTACGTGAAGTCCTCAGATTAGACGGTTGAGCGGCCTTCCATCCATATAGTCGGCGAGAAGACTTTATTGTGTATTGGAATTTCTTGTCCGAAGTTTCCGTGCTGTCCAGTATTTGGGTCCTTTGTTCTGATTATCGGGCGATGGGTGATAGGAGTAAGAGTTAGTGCGTGGTGATCATGACCACTGGTAGACGAGACTGCCTATCGACACGGAGTAGCTCTTTGGCATCAGCTTCGTGTCTTTTGGCTGCCATCCCGGGGGTTCCTACTCCAGTGTGTACTATAGCTTCAATGATGTCCTTGCTGCTATATCTGATATGTGTAGCCCAGCCTAGCTTTTGACGACCTCATTGGAGTAGATAGAGATTCTTCGCACTCTTTTTCGGTGACAACGTTTGCCAAGTACCTAACGGAGTCTCGGTGCATCTCTACGCCTTGCTACGGGAAGGCGCCCAAAGTCTCTTAACAGGCAGGCTGTCGTGTTACAGGAAATTCGTCCTTGCAGATCCCTCAAACGCTATGCCGTCCAATATTATCCGCCCACTCTGAGCGTATCACTAGGGAAGCGTAATCCTCTTTGACTGAAGCGTGCTGCTCGCCAATGTTGTGGAGAGCTAGCAAGGAACCGTCTCCAGCGATTTAGGGGAAATGAAAAAGAGAAACGGCAAATTAATTACGATATGCATGATCCATTAGCCCATCCATCCATCCGTGAATTGGTATTGGGCATGGAGAAAATACCTACGCATATTGTTGTACCAGCACGGACAATTCTGCGCCATCTAGACCCGTTATCATAGGCCAATGGAGAAGGGACACCGAAGAGTATCTTAGGCGACATCTAGCCTAAGTCAAATCCGACCAGATATTGATACTTTATGAGCGCAGAGCGTACCATAATCGGTGATAAGGGGGCGCTGGCTTCTCAAGCGTTGGTCAAATCAGAATGTCATCGTTTGAAATGATAACAATTCAAATCGGCCTCGTGGACCTGGCCTGATGGCCGGCTAGGAGCACCAAGGTGGAGAATTAATTTGCCAAATTTCTTCCCAATGGTTGCAGTGGGACAGAGTCGAGGGTCTGTTCTCCTTCACCCCCTCGGTCCAGATTGCATCCAGCCGAGGTCAAAGAACACATGCCATAGTATCATTATACTTATACATGACCGCAATAAGAGCTAGCATGAATTTGCACAAGCCGATTTGAGAGGAACCCAATGAGAGTTACATTTAGGTATTATAAAATGCTCGGTTGAGTCCAGAGAATGACGTGACAAAAGGCTAGGATGAGAATAACTGCCGGTATAGGGTCACCACGGTGGGTCGGACCGCCACTGATAAGCATCTAGCGTGCTGCTTGTTCCCAAAGCTAAGTTTATCCATTGCAGCACTAGGCACTGTATTGGTAGGACTAGGAGATAAGCACCCCGGGGAGCCAATGCTACAATGTACGACATCGCAGCTAAGCATGCGCCATCGTGGATATCTGTCAATCCCATTCGCCCAAAGCACCATATGGCGACGCTAAGGTCATACCCTAAACACTATATGCCTAACAGTATCCAACCAGTCTTCTCCATCTCTCTTAGACTTTGGACTCCGATACCTTGGTCTATCTCAATGCCTAGCACTATCGCCCCCGAAAGTCGGCCCACCGGCCTCTTACTGTCTCACACTGCACGTACAAGCTGACCCTGGAGCGCCCAGTATAAGGATGGTTGCAGCCCACCAGTTCGCCCCTTGTGGTATCCGAATCGCCAATCTCTGCCCTCACAGCGGCGAATTTTCTGAGCAACCTAGTCTATACCACCATGTGTATGTCTCAACCGACCCTCAAGTCTTCTAGTGACTGATCACAGCCATCAAATACAGCTCTTGCTGGCGGACAAAATGTCGTCGATGATGCCATTGCTGCTCGGGGACCGGGCGAAGCCCTAGACTCTGTGACCAATGGACCTGCCGGGTTCGACGCCGAGAAACAGACCTACGAAGTAACGGCAACGGAGTCAGTGGACAGTGATGAGTTTCCTGAGCCGACACCAGAAGAGCACAGCACTCTCCGCAAAGTCGCGGGCAGCCTGCCGATCGTATCCTACTCGCTGTGCCTGGTTGAATTCGCCGAGCGAGCCTCCTACTACGGTTCCCAGACTGTCTTCTCCAACTTTATTGAATTTCCTCTCCCAAAAGGTATTCTGTTCATTACCAAGACCTAAGTACAAACTGGCTGACAGGAGTTTATAGGCGGGAACGGCGCAGGTGCTCCACCGCGTGGGACGCAGGAGACTGCTGGTGGGCTGGGAATGGGCTTGCAGGCCAGTTCTGGGCTGGTGTTGCTCTTCACCTTCTTGGCCTATATACTTCCGATTCTGGGAGGATGGTAGGACTGCACCTCTTGCCCTTGGCTACAATGGTCGTTGACGTTCCCTGGTGCTGATCCTCGCAGGTGGGCCGATGTTCATGTCGGTCGATATAAGGCCATCTGCATCGGTGTCTTGATCTGTGGTATCGCGCATTTGATCCAGATCTTTGGTGCCATTCCGTCTGTTCTGCAGAAGGGTACCGCGCATTCGGCGCCCCCGTTCATCATTAGTCTGCTCATCCTGGCGCTTGGGGCTGGGATTTTTAAGCCCAACATTGCACCGACCATCCTGGACCAGCACCGACACAAGAAGGCCTATACCAAAGTGCTCAAATCCGGGGAGAAAGTCGTTGTGGACCCCGAACTGACGAATAGCCGCACCATGCTGATCTTCTACGGGGTGGTCAACATTGGTGCCTTCTACATGCTGGCTACCACGTACGCGGAGAAGTACGTGGGCTACTGGCTTGCGTTTCTGTTGGCGGGGATTATCTACTTCCTTTTGCCCGTAGTGCTGGCGTTGGTGTACAAAAAGACCTACAAGCAGCCACCGAGTGGGACTTCGGAGCTGAACCAGGTGGTGAAGATTATCTCCATGGCTCTGCGGCGCAACAAGTTTCGCGTCTGGCGCAAGAACTTCTTTGACGCGGCACGACCGAGCGTCTTGGCCGCGGAGGGTATCCAGGTGGAATGGACGGACAAGCTGGTCGATGATGTTCGTCGGACCCTGGGTATGTCGTCCTTGCTCACCGGTACTATCTGACACCATCCTAACCCTCATGCAGTGGCAGCGGAAGTGTTCCTTTACTTCCCGATCTACAACATCAACGACGGCGGTATCGGCTCGGTTTCCAGTAACCAAGGTGCCTCCATGACGACCAACGGAGCTCCGAACGACCTCCTGAACAACTTCAACGCGCTGACCATCATTGTCATGACGCCCGTGCTGAGCCACATCTTCTACCCCCTGCTGTTGCGCTACAACATCAAGTTTGGGCGGATCAGCCGCATCACCTTCGGCTTTGTCCTGGCCATCATCTCCGGCGTGATCGGTGCCATCGTCCAGTGGCGCGTGTACAAGACCTCGCCCTGCGGGTACAACGCCTCGTCCTGCGACGCCGGCGTCAGCCCGATCTTGATCTGGTGGCAGCTTCCGAACGTCATCCTGGGTGCCCTGTCGGAGCTCTTCTGCAACGTCACGGCCTATGAGCTGGCTTATGCGCGCTCGCCCCCTTCCATGCGCGGGCTGGTGATGGCTATCTTCCTGTTCACCACGGCGCTGTCCAGTGCGCTGGGCGAGGTCCTCATCCCCGTCACGCAAGACCCTTATCTCATTTGGATCTGGGGGGCACCGGCCGTGGCGCTAGCGATCCAGACTATCTTGTTCTGGTTCCGCTTCCGCTCGCTGAACCATGATGAATTCATGACCGATGAGAAGGATTATGCCGATACCACGATCACGACGGAGAGTGAACGGGCGGGTAAGGAGTAGTATGGTGTGGAGAGAGGGTTGTGCTGGTACGGGAGATGATATGATATGACTTCTGGTCAGACTCTGGTGTAGATTCGATTGTTGTATACGTCTTCTTTTGTTACAGCGTCCTGGGTCTACATGGTATCTTAGCCCGTCATCGGATCGGTTAGTGACGAGGAATACCTTCCACTATCGGAGTATCTGTCTGGCATGAACCCTTTGCTCGCAGACACTGGACCAGTATATCACTGCGCGAACCCCCTTGTCTATTGTCGTGGAATGTATGAGAAGTGAGTCTTTCATTAATTTGTTGAGAAATAAGTATATGGTTCCATAAGCCCAACCAGACGCCAGAAATGTGATAAAAGTCCCCTTCCTCTGAGAATCATTGCAGGAAACTCCGATTGCCCTCGAGTTAAAGCCACCCTAACCCAGCATCAAAATAAACCCAATTGCCCATCGTCAATTCCTATCATAACCACGTATTATGTCTATATTCGTCCGTAAACATCTCTGCTGGTACTCCCTACTTCGGATGAACCGGCGGCGGTCCCATGGGGGGTGAATATACGCCGTCTGGCGCATATGCATTCGGTGGCTGCTGGAGCTCGGATCCGTACTGCTGCTGGCCGAAGTATCCTTGGTTCGCACCGTAATTCTGCCCATATCCATGCTCGGTAGACGGTTGGTATCCCGGCGGCGCGGGGGGCGGTTGCGGAGGATATTGCTGTTGCTGCCATTGGCCTGGCGGAGGCTGTGAGCCTGGGACCCAGCCGGTCCCGTAGATGGGTCGTTGGCCGTGGCGACGGCGTTTACGAGCGGAGAGACATCTACAGGAGATACAGTGTCAGTAAAGCGTTCCAGAGACGATCGACCGGGGATGGGTCATCCCCGAAGGATGGGATATAACATACGCGAAAAAGAAGAAGGCTACGAATGCCAATCCAATAATGATGGCTAGTAACACCCAACGACCCCAGTTATGCCAGGATGACCGACATCGGTAGACATTTCCCCACCGATCGCGACAGCTGCCATTGGTTAGTCGAGATTCGATGCCATGAGGCGATAGAGACCTCCTCTGTGACTTATGACTTACTATGTGACCATGGTGGAATCCGAGAAGCGCGCAGACCGGAAGACCGAGTGAGTGAAGACTGAGGGTGTGCGCGGAGAGGACACCAAAGTTGTTTACCCTCGTTGGGCCAGGGCCTGATATATAACTTTCCGATACGATCTATCGCGAAATCAGCCACCGTTGGCAACCAGACCGCATCCGGACTAGTTGTGGCCTGAGAATGACTGCCTAAGATTGGCTGACGTCACGGGCCGGTCACGTTCCAATCAGACGGGCAATTGGCTCTTGGCCCCAAGACTCACGGGTGGAGGCGCAGTTCGACTGAGGATGGATCCAGGGCTATGCTGGGTGCAAGTTCTGCAAGAGTGCCGTGGACGAATTCTGGAACCCTGGAGGTGGACCGACGAAGAAGTTTAGGGCTGGGAATCAGCCTTGTTCAGAGGGAGCACGTGACCCGGCACATGATGTCTGTATCAGATGCCGCCAGGGTCCATCCTTGGGACACACTACATACTCCTTGCATCGATGAAATCATCTCGACATGGACACGATTGATTATGGATTCCATCATCATGATCCACTGTGGGGACGCCCACAGTCGGCGCATTACCGGGTGACCCCAGAGGAACTAATTCAGTCGGTGATATCCTTGACGCAAGTCATGGGGATATATATATCTCGCGGGGCACATTAAATCCTACGCTAGCTACACCGGAGAAGAATTAGTTGACCATCCGAAAACATGGAAATTCGTGCATTGTTGACCGACCTGGAGGATCCAATCTGACGTATGGCAGGACTCTCAAAGTAGATCATCTACCTGTCCCTGGGAGTTGACAGGACTGCCGATGATTCATACAGCTACGGAGTTCTCGGAGTAAGATCTGCCGGGCGCTTACAAAACTGGGTACCAGCGACAGCTTGCCCGAAGAACTGTACGAGATGTCTTATGGCTCTCTTGGAAGGATATTGTCCGGTACATTATGAAGATGACTGGCTCGAGGGCGCCAGTCATGGCTAATAGGTCAATTGCACCTCATAACGAGGCTGGCAACGCAGATCTTGGTTCACTGCGGGGATCTCTACGAAGCTCGCAATCAGGTCTTGACCCTCTGGCAGGTGTTGGACTACATCGTCATCGACCATGATCGATAGTCCCATTCGTTTGACATGGACCACGCGAGCGATGCCTCTCGGGTCGATGCGAGCGTGCTTGGCCAGCTGCAACGCCAACTCGCGCACGGTCCGCTGGGACAGGTACAACGCATGGTAGTAGGCACTCGGACGGCTATTCTTCTGGATTTGGACGTAGAAACAGGCGACTAAGGATTGGTTAGCTCCCCCCTCGACTGCACGTAAAAATTGACTAAGCTCACCGAGTGGCGGGTCTGCCGATGTGGCCTGTTTCGAAGTGATATGGGCCGAGGTTTGGGTGGGAGAATGAGACGGTCGACTAGGAAAACCATCCTCGGTCGGACCATCGCAGTCGGCATCGCCACAAACGTCCGTCACATTGGCTGGCGATGAAGGATAATTCCCCAGGGTGATGCTAGCCAGCTGATCTGGGTCGTCCTGCTCATCTCCGGGCAGGGCAAACACGCTCACCGAGAGGGCGGACGAGAAGAGCTGTTGCAGATCGTACAACACCTTGTACAGATCGCCCGGGGTGGACACGCTAGGAGAGCGACTCATCGACCGGGTTGGATCACTCGGGGTGGTCCCGCGCGCGACGCTCCTGCGTTTCTGCTTCTTACCGAGGCCACCCCCATGATAGTCCGCCCGGGCGATTTGTTTCTCAACACGCTCAATCGACTTCTGGATGTGGGTAACGTCATTGGCCAGCTTTCTTTCAGCACCATGATCCCGAAAGACCTTCACTCGGCAATAGCAGATCTCCGCCTCGGTCTCAGCTTCCGACGGGACCTCGGGCAACGAGATCCTCTCCGTCTTCGCGCATAATCTCACCGGAACCCCCTTTACCCCCTTGGACTGAGTGAAATCTGTGGAGAGAAAGTGGAATCGGACGAGAATCTGGCATTGCGACGAATAGGCCTCTCCCCCACTCGTCCATGAAACACAGAACTGATTAAAAGACGCACTCTCCAGATGCCACGCCGGATCAGGCGTATCCCCGCCTCCTCCCTTCAGCGCCACCAATTCCACCGCGCACGGGCGACCGCCGCGTCGCTCGGCGTCACTCCCACCCCGCGCGCCGTGCCACAGTTGCCAGCAGAGGGTTGGATTGGATCGGTGGGTGGGTTCTTCGAACGCGATTCCGATTCGGGTCCGGTATTGGACCGGCTGGACGGGCGCGACCGGCGGGCGGGAGTCGACGATCGTGATTGTGTAGGCCTGGGCTTTGTTCAGATAGGTCACGGGGATATCGCGGGCATGGTCGAACATTGCGGTCGGCGCATGGAGGATGACATGGTAGCGGAATCTACAAGGGTCGCTCACGTTAGCGTCCACCGATGGCCTGGACAGATCTGGGGGACCAGTACGGGATTTCCGGGTGTACGGAGGCCCTCTCAGCGACATTCGATGTCAGCAATCCTGACTGGTCCGTTGAGAGTTCTCGGACGGATGCTACGAATGAGTCTTTCCGATCGCATTCATCCGGCGCCACGTATTCCTGATGATCATGATCAAAATAGCGCGCGGCGACGGGGGACGCATGCAAGCCTGGGGCGAATGGGTCCACATTGGAGAAGACTGGGCTCGGGTCGAGTGAGGGAAACGTGGCGATGTTGGCGGGTGGAGGGTCATCTTGGGAACGGACGGTCTGGGCACTGATCATTTGTGTCCAGCGCAAGGGCGAGCTGGTCAGGTTCCACTCCACGGTCGGGGTGTGCAAATCCCCCGCCGGGCTATGCAGGACGGCGCACATTTGATCGGGCAGTGGCGTGTATACGGCATGCGGCTGACTCGGGGGACTCACAAAACCGAGGAGATTCGCCGGCGTGGACGTGGACGGTTGTTCGTCCCAGGGCGCCGACTGCAGGGTACCTGGTTGGGCGTGGCTGACGAGACCCTCTGGGTGCATCGTCTGAGCGATCGAAAGCACGGAAAAGACATAAGGGAAATCATTGCGAAATTCTCGAATGAGCTCCTCGTTCGGCTTCTGCGACGTTTTCCTGAAGAAGTGCTGTTGAGCCCACGCCAGGGTGCATCTCGTTTTCGCGTATGCGCGTATCACAATTACCTCTTGCCAAACATTTTCCCCGCTCCCTCAGGGTGCCGTCACTCTCGCGACGTGGTGTGTGTCAGTGGAAGTCCATGGAGTAGGACCCGGGGGGGGGGGGATATGTCCGGTATTTTATAGAAGTCTGCGAACGACTGTGCCCAGCTCATAGATTGCATAGATTGTACGTTTGCTCCATCTACACGGCATGACAAGAAGGCGTTTGTTGTCGTTGAGCTTCACGATTGGGACGGAAGTGACTGCCGATGAATCGTCTGAAGGCCCCTCCCGCCAATCAGAGCCGGCGCACGGGGCTGGTCACGGGGTCTCCTGCCCTGATCAAAACATGAGCTCACCGCCAGAGCTTCGAATGGTCCTCTGTTGAACCAAAAGACGACTCATTAGGATTGGGAAGTGTCTCCCTCTCGGCGGTACTTCTACAGGTCCCATGTAGATCGATCTCCCTTTATTTTTGGTGGATTCTCCCCTTCTCTCCGTTCCTTTTCTTTTTTCATTTTTTTTTGGGTCGAAACGATGCTCGTTCCGAAGCTTTTCAGTCCTGCCAAGAAACAAACACCAGCAATCCAGAATGACGTACGGATGATGTGATAGCCGGACCGTGGGTTTGTATTACTCTATTTTTCTATTTTATTGGATTTTCCTTCCATTTTTTGTGGAGCTGGGGGGAGTCTGTATCCAAGCCTGCAAGCCTCCGGAATATGGCCAATCAACCCGACCCCGCACGTGATGACGATTGCAATCGATTCAATCGAACTTGGACGCGATCAGGTCTCTTCACATTGCAGTTGTAAGCCGCGTTGAGGATAAACTAGATCACGACACACCAATTCCAGCACCTACAGCCATCACCTTGTGGCTATCCCGGCTACCAGGGCCGATTTCCTGACTGCTAGAGGTTGCTGTCGAAGGATTCATGGATGCATGAGTTGCGGTCAGTGAGACCCAGGAAGCGGAATAAAATGTGGCTGCGAGATAGGCGCTATGGAAGGAGCACTATCGGCGCAAATAGCATCTGTCCTGTTTGCTACAGCTTCCTCGACTGTGCACGAAGAGTTCTACATACACCCAAGAAGCAGAAGACGTACCAGGAGGTTGGTAAGCAAAGAAAAGCTTTTGGAAAGAATGGCACCCACGCGACGGGGTAAGGGGCAAGGGCCTCTCGAAGGCTTGGAGAGTCTTAGCAGCCGCTACTATAACCCTAATCGGAGGGCGGGACGAATACGCTCGCCATCGACGCACCGATGTAACCCAGTCGAACTAGGATTTGTGGCCTGATGATCAATGTGACCATCTATTCTAGCAACTGCAGTAGCTCGTCGTACTATATATGATCAGCCCTCCGGTCCGAACCGCATGGAAATCCCTGCCCATGTCGCCATTCCACCACCTCCCCTTAGCTCGTTTTAGCTTGTTTTGGGTGCGATGTGACGGTCAACCCCTGATTCAGATAGAAGGAATGGGTAAGAACACTACTACAGGGCGCCATATCGCAAAAAAAAAAAAAAATACCATTAAGAAACATCAGAAAACGAAAAGAAAGGGCAATGATTCGCCCACGGTCAGCCGCTCCGATCTCCATAACTGACCTCCATGCTATAGGGATTTACTTGATAGAGACGTACCAGAGTATGGTCTGGGATCTATCATGTAACCTAGAAAAAACTAGCACTTAAAATTTAGATAGTCTGGTTCTTGTAGATCCCATGATATCCGCGGAGCAAACCACATGGCGTTTGGCTTGCCACCGGATCAAAGGAGCTTTCTCACAAGGAGAAGGATTTGAATACGAGGATCCCATAGCCCCACCGACTCGCGACAGTGATTTGCGATATGAACAGAGTACCGTGGACATCCACTGGCGCCATAGAGCCGTGGTCCCAGACTGCCATTAAGCTATAAATGTGAGTCACGCTCGGATGTCTGTATATTCGCGAGAGAGTTGACATGCATGGAAGGGAGACAGGCTGCGCATTGCATTTCTTCGGCCCCATAGTTTCTTGATCCTTTTCTCCGAGAAAGACATTACATTTCCATCCTGAAGTCATAGACCAACAGTTCCCTGTGGCGCTCCGCCACTACCAGTTAGCCAGCGGACAAAATTGAGTAGGGCCCCGCCTGGGAAAAACGTTCATGATGCATCACGGACTCTCACGGGAGAAACTAAATCTGGTTAGCATCCTGTAGGATTAAAATAAGTCCCCGAGCAACGCCGGGTCTATTTGACTAGTGATGTGCCCGGGGTTTGAGGCTTCTCGGGTTGTCGAGTTGACAGGAACGGGTATCGGACACACAAGTCGAGAAAGTAGCCCGAGGGAAAGATCCACATGGCAACAGGTTGTGGGGAATAGATTTACGAGATCAATGGGCATTCATGCCGCTTGCAATGGCTCCCTGTCAAGAGATATGGTTAGTTGTAGATGAATGGGCTCTTCGCTTCAAGCCTCGAAGGATCAACACCTTGGTCAAGGGGACTTGGACCCAGCATGACAAGAGTCACTTCAACTTGACCCGTCAGTTTCCTATTATCTTTGAGCGTTTGGGTATCCAGAAATTCTGTTACACCCCTTCCATGTACACTTCTTTTCTGGCCTGGTCATGATCTTTACCTCGACCCTCCGGCCGGAAGTCTATGCCAGCATGTCAAGAAACAACCGAGAGTCGTTGGACGTAGGTAGACTGGCTTACAGTGTTCTACAGCAGCAGATAGAGCTTATGTATGAGGATATCCACTGGTCGAATTCTTCCATGATTGATTCTGGGAAGTAAACATGTGAGCGGGTCTGCTACGGTCTGCTATAAACTGATAGTTGTCTAGTTGGCAGTGGGTAGCACGGTGCACACTCACTTTTTTGTAAGGCTTGCTGCACTGCTTGTCTTAAGCGACGGATATCTATCAACTCTTGATTCAGGTGAAAGACGTGGATATGAAGACGCACCACAGAAGGGCTAGGCCTCGCCGTATAAATATTCTTGGTACCCACGAGTTACCATCCCGATCCTATCGCCGACTCGAGTGGAGCTATCAATCAAGATTCTACTCCGGAGTATTAGCCTGTTTGAGCCTAACTACTGTCTAGTGGGACGTCTAGCTATGCAGGCGGGTCCAGTGGAGTTCTTCAGCTCGCTGCGCACCACGAGCACTGACATCGCAAGGGCAGCTTTGATACTAGGGACACGTTTCTTGTCGTCCTATTACAGGAGGGAGAAAAGCAGTAGTGACGCCCCAAACATGAATCTCGCGTTCATCGTCCGTAGAGGTTACCCTTCGTGACTCACAGCCTGGCCACTTATCATGAAGAGCTCAGCAGACTACCAATGATGCAACGGCCGGTCCAAGAGGTCGGATGATGAGTCCCAGTGTCGCATACGCAGTACAGAGATCGGGCCCCGAATGATCGCCGAGCACATCTAAACTGGAACAGGACAGATGCGAAGGTTTTTGCAGTCCCGAGGACAGCACATCCACAGGGCGAAAGTTTAGCGATCATTAGTTTCCCTTGGCCGTTTACAGCAAGTTCCCCATGGCGTAGTATTTCCCAAATTCTGGCAAACCACACGGCAGTCTAGACTCGTCGAGGTTCCGCGGCTCCGCGCGGAAACAACCATGGCTTGGATGCAGATGGTTCTGGAGGACCCCAACGTGTCGGATCTTTCAGTTAAATAAAGTTTGCCTTCTCCAATATATTCAATCATTAGATCAGCAGGGTTGCAGCGCCTGATGAACCGCTTCCCTCCTCGTAAAGTATTCAAGGCTGTCCGATAGCCCGTCCGTCCGTCCAGGTACATCTACCCTCGCTGGACAATGGGATCTGGGAATAATAGCAATGCCCTTATCATAGTAACCGCCGTGTTCTTCGGGATATCACTGGTGGCGGTTTGTCTACGATGTTTTGTGCGGTTGAGAATCGTGCACGCATTCGGATGGGACGATGCATTGATTGTGACGGCGATGGTGCGCAGCCTCGTCTTCGTCTTGCCCTGGATTTGTGCTGACAGTTATTCGAGGTGTTCAATGTGGGATTCGCCACCTGTACCTTCCTCAGCGCCTCCTCTGGCACAGGGAAAACGCCGGAATACCTTGCGACCCGACCTGACGACGTCCGTCGCGGATTCTTGGTCAGTCTGGGTCTCCTGCTTATCCACCATTTCTACTAACGGTTTCCATAAAATAGTCTGGTGGCTGGGACAGATCATCTATATCATCACCGTGACGATTGCTCGACTATCGATTGCCATCACCTTACTCCGTCTCACGGTGGAGCGTATCCATAAATGGATTCTCTATGGAGTGATGGCCCTGTCCACGGCGGTGGGGATAGTCTTTCTTTTCCTCTCCATCTTCCAATGCCAGCCAGTCTCCTACTATTGGAATCGCCTCTGGATGGAAGGCCACTGCCTGGACATGAACTCGCTTCTCGGGGTGGTCTACATGTACAGCGCCGTCGCGGCGGCCTGTGATTTCACCATGGGCCTTCTTCCCGTATCCCTCATCTGGAGGCTTCAAATGGATAATCGGACGAAACTTGCCGTGGCCGGGATCTTAGGCATTGGTTGCATGTTCGTTCTGGAACCGTACCTCGGGCCTTCTGCTGTTTATGATACTAACTCTTGGCTGCAGAGCGAGCGCTGCTGTCATCGTCCGCATCCCTTTTCTCAGCTCAGCAAAGAGCCCAGACTTTCTCCGTCAGTTGCGCCTCTTTCTTGTCTTGCCTCACCACACTGACCGTGCGCAGACGCAACCACCCAGATCTCAATCTGCTCCAACGTTGAAGCTTGCTTGGGCATCACCGCCGGTAGTCTTGCGACCGTGCGCCCGATCATCCGCATGTGGTCCCGGATGGCTTCGTCCATTCCCAGCCAGCATAGCTTGATCGCTTCACATCCCATTGCTAGCAAACGTCGCGGTACTGTCGATAGTCGCGAAGATGCCACCAGCTATTCCACTTACGCCAGCCATACCGCACCATCTCAATGGCCTCAGAGTCCCAATTCTATGGCATAGGACATTGTCTATATGCAGGGTCGAGATTGAGCCCTACTCAAGATTTGTCTTGTCTTCACGCCGTTGTTTTCTCCTTGAATTATTGCCCTCTGTTAATGATACCATTTCACGTCGGAAGATCTCTTTCTTCCTATCTTTCCCGCCCCCCCCGTTGCATATCCGAACATACAATTGTAATATAATCTTAGCGTCCATTGCATTAGATGCGGTAATAGAGAAGCTATGTCAGCCCTAATTTACCTCGACTGAACAGGTGTATAGCAGTTTCCTGAAGAGCAACCCGCCAGCGTCATTCTGCGTGTCCAACGTACGGCATAGCGGTCCCTGATGATGTGGAGTAACAGTGTCACGTATGAACAATCTCTTTCGCGATAGACCCGTGAGTGAAAAAAGGGGGAATTCAGACATGGATCGCCTTGACATTGAGTAACGCTTCTGCATTTTGGTATGCGAATAGCTCCAGGTCCCTCCCAGCGATCAGGCCACTCGCCTCAATCTCTTCAAAGAACCGCAATCCTTTTTCATTCGGCGAAAACGGATAGTCAACACTATACAACACATGATCAATGGAAGTGGTTTGCAGAAGGCAAGCCAGCGGCGTTAACGAGAACATGCCACTGGTCGTGATCCAGATATTGTTCCTCCAGACCTCTCGAAAACTTCTCTCTCTGCCCCATCGGTCCGAGATCGCAAAAACACGATCCAATTGGAAAGGTAGCAGCTCACCCATGTGTCCAATCACGATCTTCAATCTGGGCAGGCGATCAAAGAGACCGCTGGCGAATAACCTCAGGATATGATGTCCGGTCTCGGCGTGCCAGGCCCAGCCGAACGCGCTCAACGCCAGCGCCACCGAGTCGCTGTAGTTCCCTTTATAATGTTCCATCATGGAGTCGGACGCGAATGTCGGGTGGATGTAGATCGGAACGTCCAATTCCTGCGCTTTTTCAAAGATGGGCCAAAAGCGTTCGTCGTCGTAGAACTGCCCTTCCAGGTGGTTGTCCACTAAAGCTCCAACGAAGCCCAGTTTCGTCACACAGCGCTCGAGTTCAGCGACAGCTGCAGCAGGCTCGCTCATCGGCAGCATGGCGAATCCCGCTAATCGAGTGGGATTTCTGGCAATGGCAGACGCCAGGTCGTCGTTTACTTCTGAGCAGAGAAGGGGCGATAAATTCCCCGGACCGTGGGAAATGACTTGGAGCGACACGTTTCCTTTATCGAGATCCTGGATACGATCCTCCCCCAGGGACTCCAACTTGGACATTATAGCAGGTGGAAAGTTGGCATAATGCGCACGGGCTTCTTCGCTGGCTTCGCGCACTTTTGGCGAGGCATAGTGCTCTTCGAGGGTGATGAAAGGAGGCATGGCTGTGAGAGTATAAACTGGCACAAGATTTGTATATGTAAATAGTCTGCGAAACGGCAGTGGATGGTTGAGTTCTTATACTCGTAAGACAGCCATTCTCTTTAACTCCGAGGCCGAGCCATAAATCCGTCATACGTGAGAAAGCGAAATGATATGACGCGTTAATTTCTACTTTGTATCTTTGAGTTTTAATCTGGCTTTAGTTCCTGCGCTAAGATCTCGCCTTGTCTACTCGAGCCCTGCGCGTGGCGCATCCGATGACGCTTTCCCAACTAGCCGTTGTCTGCTAATAATTCAGAACGGCGCGACGAGACAGATTAATCCAGCTTCGTACCCGTCGTTCACTGAATCGCAGCTCGGACGATCGGAGAAACAAGCTCTACCTCCTCAATGTTTCCCCGTCGCGTATACCATGAGCTATCAAGGGCTATGTTAGCATCCATTCTCGCCGTGATATGGGGGTGCCGGATCGCGAGGCTGACCCATCTGGGAGGCACCATTGAGGGGACCGCCAATCGCCGGCCCAGGAGACTTCAATCACTGTACGTGCATCGGTCGGGGGGAGTCACAAATGCAGGGAGTTGTCAGCTGGGTGAGCATGCGCGATTTCAAAGCCAACAGCCGCTACTTCAGGATTGCGTTGATAAGAGGTAGCGGGGTACGTGGCAAGGCGCGGATCTTGCAGGCCATCACCGCACAGGTAGCTGAAGGCTGCGGAGTCTGTGGACTTGGAACCAACCGCCGAGGGTGGGTGGTGTGTTCCTGTAGAGAGTGTTAGTCTAAACGTGAGCCATTACCGGATCATGGGCTGTTCTCTCACCGAAGTTCACCCGGTCGCGATAGTCTTAAATGGCCCACAAAAGTACCCCGAGCACGAAGCTACCAACAATGACGGGTCAGAGTCTTTGCTGTAAGTCTTGAGACCTGCTTGCTCTGTAGAGGGGTTGCAGCCTAGGACGGCGGAGGTTCGTCATGACGCCAGTGGTCTCGATAATAAAGGACGTTTGTTGTAGACTGGAGACTCATGCAGATTGAAGACTGACCTTATTCCAGCCCGTGGAAACAGTCGGAGATCAGGATAACACTGATGACATGTCACAGTGAATTGCGACAGAGCCGACGCCATCGCGTCTGATAGAGAGATATATTCTTTGATACATGACTATACCAGGCTCAGTGCGTCACTCAGCGGCACCACATACCATTCCCAGTCATTGTGCTGCGAGGATTGCCGGCCGGACAATCCGGTGGCTAAATCACGGTCTCGCGACTGCCAAACCGTTTCAATGATGGAGCGGACGCGCGCCACACTGGTGACGGTGGACTGGGCCATCGTCGCCAATGCTCTCAGGACCAAAGCTCGTCCGCAGACCAACTCCCCGGTGACCGGGTCTGGCCAATTCTCTCCATCCGCAGGATCCAGCGCGACGGCAGCGACGAAGATAGGCCATGTCGCATTGATAATGAGGTTCTCTTTGAGCAAGGCGGATAATTGCTGGATGATCCTGCGAACGAGACTGCGAACGATTGGGGTAGATGGCTCTGCGTTGTACAAGGCGCAGTGCAGATAGATGGTGCATGCCAACCGTTTGAGATCAGCAACCGCCTGGAGGGCACGGTCTTCGGGATCAGCTAAGACTTGCACGAGGCCTCCCAATCTTCGATTCAATGCAGAAGCTCTCATGCTGAAGTCTACCTCCTCGGCTAAGACGGTGTCTATCTTGGGGCGGATCCGACTGAGATCCAGGATCGCAAAGAGGATAGAAACCAGCTCAGGGCTACATCCCATCCACGGGTTGACGGAACGGTCAGTCTGATCCCAGAAAGAAGGACCGAACAAATCTGCCTTGGCACACGCAGTGCGGCCCATGACATCCTGGAACGCAAAGAATAGTTCTGCAAAGGCCGTCACTGGACACTGCGTTTGGTTGGATAGGTTTCTCCTCCGAAGCCGGATGATATCCTTCGCGCCTTGGAGGTGGACGACCCATCCTTTGTCGCACTGGTCGACTATGTCGTATAGACTCAGCATCATCATCAGGACCAGCACTTCGGGATCCGGGGAGATGGTATACGACGGCTCAGCCGTAATCCTGCGGCGCAATTCTCCCAGAACGTGGGACTTTAATCGCACTGCGGTGCTTGTATGCACGGGGTTAGATTGGGACCAGTAGCACGCGGCCAGTGCTTGGAGCGCCACGAGTCCGTTCTCCGAGCCGTTCAAGCAAAATGGTAGGATCACAGACGTGAAAGGAGAAGCGATCTTTAGACTAGACGTCGTTCGAGGACAGACCTGATCGATGAAATACTCCACCATGACGGCGTGCTTCTGCGCTTGTGGGTAGGGAAATACAGGCGGCGAGTACCACAAAGGAGTCTGCTCTGCCACTCCGAACCTGTCGCGCTTCGGACGGATCACACTGATCTCCATAGATGGCGGGTATCGGGGGGCTCCTTTCTCATCGTAAAGCCACTCCATTGTTGAGATATCCTGATTGACAAAGCTCCACGGATACACGGTGCTATTGGGAGACCAATTCTGCTTCCCGGTTGATATGACACCGGACTTTTTCTTCGACGAGGGTCCTTTCCCCCAGACTCCTTCCCGACCGAAGGCCAATCCACGGCTCTGATAGTCTGATTTCCATTTGAGAGTCAACTTTTCCCTGGTGCATTGCCAGCCTTTCTGCCAGCATCGCGTGCAGGGCTCCTCTCCGTCACACTTGACCCGACTCTGGCGACAGTTGGCGCAGCCAGTACGAGTTCGGGTCTTTGACGCATGAGCCGGTTGAGACATGTCGCCGTGAAGCATTGCATCAAGTATGTTAGAGCATGGGAGCAGTATGTCCTTGGTCGTATTTGTTGCTTCGTCTGTTGCGAGGGGATGTTGAAATCGATTAATAATCCACATGTCATCCAATTCACGTTTTGCAAATTCCGTCTCGGAGACTTTCTGCTCCATATCATTGGTCAGGGCGACTCCGCTTTGGTATATTACGGTTTTCTGTGTTTCCCATCTTTGCCCCATATTCTACCAGAACTGATATGAAACTGAGCATATAGAGTGATGAGTGGACCGAATAAATGTTCTAGACATTGCAAAGACTTATCTGCCCGTATAGACGGAAAAGCACTTATCATGACGGAATTCACAGGGAAGGATTTTGAAATTCACCCTGAAATTCGGTTTCGTTATCATTTATATACATCTCTGCGAGGATATCCTACACCATCTTGCTATGTGTCTCTACTAGAGCGAGTCAAAGGATAGCCAGATCCAGGATTGAGAATGTAAAAGGTCAAAACAATTGCATTATTACCTACGCGTGAAGGAAGCTGGATAGACGAGAATTCTGCACCATGACTCCCCTGGTTTCCGACATGAAATGAGTAGATAGACTATTTCCTAAACCACAGTTTTGGCAATCGCTTCAAAGTCCTCCTTGAATGCACCGTGCCAGTCCGTCTCTGTCTTCTGTGGTTGCCATCCCAAGGCTCTGCTCAACGTAGCCTTCGACCGAGCACTAAGATAGGGTGAGTACCACTGATGATGGCAAGGGGGTAAGGAGACTCACTTCGATGCAAAGCCTAGCTCGCGCACCTGCTCACTGCCATTGGCGGCCCAGGCTGCTGCCTCTGGCAGGGACACACTACGAACTTCATCGGTCGCCAGTAAGCCCAGCTCGGATCCCGCCGTGGCAATGCCGCGAGATACGTCCATCCAGGTATGACGGCCCGTTTCTGCGAACAACAATCCTTGGGCTCCGTACGGCACGTCCTCTCCCTTCAGCACCTTCACCAGAACCAACTCGAACAGGGTCACTAGATCGGCGATGTGGACATGATCCCACTCAGCCTGACCGTCCCCGATCACCACAGCGTGTCCGTACTGCAAGGCACGACGGATGAGCGCGGGAATTTGGATCGAGAGCCGGTTGACCGGACCAGTGCCAATGCCGAAGATGGTCGGGGCCATGATGATCGTCGTCTTGACGGAAAGATCAATACCCGTGCGGAAGACAGCCAGGTCGGTTGTGCGCTGTTTATAGGCCTCGTGGGCCTCGCGAGCCTGTTGATACGCATATACATCGTTGGTATCGTGCAGCTCTCGGGATTCGAGGTAGACTTTGCTGACCGGCCGGTCGGCAATGCTGGACGTTCCAGAGGTCTGCCAGCTTGTCAGCGGTTAGACCTCAATAAATTCTCTATCTCCTCCCTCACATGGATAAAGTGGGTTTTCCGGCCTGTCTTGGTCTCTCTATCATGAAGACCAGTGATCATGGCGATAGCGGATTCTGTGTGGAACGCGGAAGCGGTGTTGATAATAACTTGTATAGATTGCAGTCAGAGACCTGTCGCCGTCGAGTTCCTTTGGCAATGCTCACCATCGTAGTCGCTCGCGAGCTTCTGAATGAATTCTGTCTCATCGAGACTCTTGAAGACAATGACCCCAACACCGAGATTTTCAAACTCCGGAATCCTCTCCAGTCCGCGAATGAGGACGTCGATCTGCGCATTTTGTACCTCGATGGCAGTACTGGCTTTGAGAGTGGTCAGGACCGAGCCACCACTGTGTCTCGTTAGTGTGTGTCTCTAGCGATTCATCGGGAAGTATACTCACATGTAGCCCGTGGCGCCGGTCAGAAGAATGCGAATTTGCGACATCGCGTGGTGTGAATATGATGATACCCTGTATACCAAGGGCTGTTCAAGCGTGGGACATTACTGACATTCTGAAGAGGTTCAAAGACCACTTTTATATCGTGTCTCATACCCCCCAAAGTTGAGTGAGTCTGACCCCCTGCTTGCTAAACCACGTCGCAGAGTAGCATTTGTCAGCCTATTGTGCAGTCTATGGTGTCATCTTTACCCTGGATAGGACCTTGATTCTACGATCGAAACATGTCTCGTAGAAGGGAAAACCGGCAGTCGATCTGGTGGAGTACACCTTTGGTATCTCAGGGAGTGAGTGGATTCACCAACGAGCAAAAAGTTTCTAGCCGGCTCGACCTTCCCGTCAATTCAGCAAAATTCGAAGGTCTGGACCCGCTCTGCGATTGCCACCGTGCAATTCGATACACCTGCGTTCTTAGCTTACCGATCAATGGAGACCTCTCTCGATGATTTGCAACCGCTCCACTCCTAACGGGCCCCGAGCCAACCTTTGAAAAAATACTCTAATTGCTCTCTCCCTCACGAGGCACGCCAAGCCCTGACCGACGTGCTACGGGCCCCACTCAACGGTTGAAGAACATCGGAGAATTCGGTCAAGCCTTGACCAACGGCAAGCCGTCGCTCGGGGGGAAAACAACCCAATCAGGGACATCCATGACTGTCCGGGATGCAACAGGCTGGTAGACTGAGGTTTTGATTACCCATAATTAGTAGATCATACCAGATGGGTCGATTAAGGCCCATCGCATGTCCCCCGGTCAGCGGGAAGGTGCATGCGAAATTCTCATGGAATCTACGTTACTCGCATGTAGGGCTGAGATGAAGCAAACAGGGGCATTCGCCAAAATCTCTAGGCCACCGCATTAGAGAGTACTGTCGCTGTAGCTGTCCTGCGAGGGAGAGATATAAAGTATCCTCTCATCGTTACCGCCGTTTCCGGCGCTGGCATTCCAGGGAGCGGCGCACACACATTCTTTTTATAGCATCGTATGTTCCCCTAGACGTAATCGCTTCGTGTCTGCTTTCATAGAACTCCAGAGTAGACCCTCTCCGAGAATAGAGTCAAACTCAAGACTCAATAGACCAGTTTCCCCCTGAGGATTATGGAGATTATGGAGATTACGGAGCCACCCAGGTCTAGCCATGATTGGTTCGTATAGAAATCAAGCACAGACCACACGAAAAGGGGGCTCCTATTTTTTTTCTCTTTTTTTTTTTTATTTTTGTTTCTCCGTATGCCCACATATATCGGGCTCGGATGGACGTAAAGAAGGCGCAGTTACACCAAAGTGGAAACGTAAAAAGCACGATCGAACAAAGCGTATCTGGAGGGGCAAAAAAAAATAAAGTACGAAAGGAAAAGCCAAATAATGACGTCAGCTGATTTGCTGATCGCAAAAAAATTCCAGCTGTCCAGGTAGAAAAGAAGACAGTAACCTAGCCGCGTCGGTGCCATGGATCTTGATCCTAATTTGACGATTAGCGATGTGCTAGTCTTGGAGAACCTTTTGGACGATATTAAAACATGGAAGAAAAAGGAACAAGGTAAGTCCACTCCCATCCCCAGTCCCCAATGAGGCACAGACTCTAAAGATGACTGGTAGATGGTGAAGCCGTGATACAAAGTAGGACGTCTCACAATGAAGAGACGGTCAAGAAACTGCAGGCGTTAAATGATCCTCAGCATTCGGACTTCGAGCCCAGCGTTGTGTTTACATGGGACCTCAGGGATCTTCGCCTGTACCCTTGGCTCGACAGGTGGATTCTGCAGCCCTACATCGGCCTGGCAAGAAGAATCGTTCGCCATGAGACCGACGTGGTGATGCTCTCCCATATTCTGCTCTACCTCACTACCTCCGTCCCCAGCGCAGTCCTCTTATATTATAGATTCAGCTGGACCCATGGGGTCCTGCATTGGCTCATGCAAAGCTACTATACCGGGACATATACCCTGTTGATGCACCAGCATATCCATATGGGGGGAGTGCTGAAACCGAAATACCGCTGGCTGGACATGACATTCCCCTATATCACGGATCGCCTGATGGGACATACCTGGAACAGCTACTACTATCACCATGTCAAGCACCACCATGTGGAGGGCAATGGGCCGGACGATCTCTCGTCGACCATCCGGTATCAACGGGATGACCTGTTCGACTTTCTTTGCTACTTTGGCCGGTTCTTGCTGTGTATTTGGTTCGAGCTACCCCGCTACTTTTTCCGCAAGGGTAATCTTCGCTGTGCGTTCAAGGCGGGGGCGTGGGAGATTCTCAGCATGGCGTCGATGTACTGGGCCTGGAAATATCTCGGGTGGAAACCAACGCTCTTTTGCTTCGTCCTTCCATTTGTGCAGCTGCGCCTGGGGCTGATGGTGGGCAACTGGGGGCAGCATGCCTTTGTGGACGAGGTTGATCCGGACTCGGACTTTCGCTCGAGCATTACATTGATAGATGTCGCAGTAAGTAAGCGCCGGAGGACTGATTTCCCGCAATGTAAACTAACAAAAGCAGAGTAACCGTTTCTGCTACAACGATGGCTACCACACTTCCCATCATTTGAATCCTCGCCGCCACTGGAGGGAGCACCCCGTGGCCTTCCTGCAACAGAAGGACCGATATACCACCGAGAATGCACTGGTGTTCCGCAATATCGACTACATTATGATCACCGTGAGACTGATGCGGAAGGACTATCTCCATCTCGCCAAGTGTTTAGTTCCATTGGGGGATCAGATCGGGATGGAGCAGGGCGAAATTGCGGAAATGCTGCGCACCAAGACTCGCCGATTCACTGAAGAGGAGATCAGGCGCAAATTTCCCCAAAAGAACCAGAGTCATCACTAATTCCCTGGCTGGTTTTGGCGATACGGTTGATCGTGGGGAGCGATTGGTGTCCAATGCGTGGTCAAGCTTTCATTTCAGTTGGCCAGGAGGACTCGTCCCTGGTTGGGCTTCTATTGGCGATTGATATCATCTTATTTTGTCCGACCATAGTCATAACACCCAGGGTAGTGCACACGCTTGCCAATCGCAATATAATACATAGACAGCCGTCCTAACGGTGTGACCCTGAGCGCAAAACATCCAGCCTCTCTGCCACCTGTTCGTTCTCCTCTGGGCCCTGGTCGTATGTCACGATGACCTCTTGCGTCTGCTTGATCCCGGAGCTCCCAAGTATACTTTTAGCACTGTTGTCGTCTCGTCGGTCGGGAAGGATGATAGTCTCCCCACAGTAGTAAGGATCTCGCTGGCGAGACCCAGCCAGGCCCCGGCGATTCCGGCTTCTCTTTGCGGAGTTGCTGTAGGCATGGGAAGATGGCTCGTCACTGTGATTGTAGGAGGAACTGATCCGGACAAACAGCACCCGGAGGGAAGGAATCGAGGCGGCAAAAATGGTCAGACCTGTTTCAGCCGATGCCCAGATGAGAATCTCCGAACATGCATCTATGGTCGCATTAGCACGAAATCAAACGAGGGAAGAGGAAGGTAGAGAGACATACAGGTATAGTCGGCGACGTTTGACACGTTGGTTAGCTTCGTGGTCTTGATGAAGGCCGTCGCTGCCGCACTGGGAAATGGCCATGTCAGTACTTCACTTGGTTGCAGTTGGAGATGCAGAGCACACGTACAAGATACCCAAGCTCATCGCGATTGCGATGCCTAGCTTCTCGCGTCGCCTCATCTGGAGCTTCCAAATCACCAACCATGGCAGTAAGGCCAAGATGAAATCCATACATCCGGAATAGGCTAAGAAACATGTCAGCGAACCGCCTCTCGATTAAAGCGCTTCTTATATAGTACCCCCGGCAGTAAGAGCGATCGTCTGAAAGATATAGCTGGGCCAGCAGTCCGCCGTCGGCATGAGCTCGGCATTCCAGAGTGCCGCCGCGGGCTTGCACTGCAGCAGGTAGCAAATGGCACATAGCCACATGATGATATTCATAGAGATGATGATGAACCACAGGATCGCCCTCTGCCAGGTGCTTGTCACAATGCGCAACAGGGTGATGGCGAAGGACGTCTTGCTGAGCACACAGCTGATGATGCAGATAATCATGCCAATATAGATCAACTTCAACGCTCCAGGCGTTTGACTGGGATCGTCAATATCGCCAACATGTTTACCGATTACGCCCATCTGGACGCCTCGGGTGGTGAGCGCCGTGTAGACAAGGAGCAGCACCTGTCGGTCGATGATCAGTTATCAAGTAGCGTTAAACCGAAGGAAGGCCACGGACCAGAGCCAGGCAGATTACCATATCATCCCATCCGAATCCTCTATTCAACATCACCTTGCAATATATTCGGAGGGCGACAATAAGAGCCGGAATTAAGACGAGGATCCAGCACACCGCCAGGATGGTTGGACCCTGGTTGTCAATCACCTTCGACGACATGGCTCGTCAGCGAATTGGGGTATATGGAAGCATGCAGAGGATGTTCAGAAAGACTTTCGCCGGCACAGTGTCGGGTAGAAGCTGTCAAGCCGCCCGGATGTCCAGGGCTACCAATACCAGGGTAAATGTACGGAGCAAAAAGTGAACCTCCACCCCTGGAGTTTTGTCTCCTGGGGAGTCCAAACCTCAAGAATGTTGTAGGCCAAGTCTCTGTAGCGCCGTACACAGCGAAACTGTACCTTTTTTTAATTTTCATTTTTTCTTTTTCTTTCATAATAGGGGAGTATGTGACGTGGGTTCATCCTTCATACTTACTGACTTAGAAACACGAATAACGGCAAAGATTGACATGAACAACCTCCACTGAACAAGGGTCACTCCCGACTTAAGCTGAACTAATATCAACCGCTGCTTTATAGTGGCAAGGATAAAGTACCGCAGTAACATTGGGGTGAAACCCCCGCTCGACGAATCGATATTGATCAAATACGCACACTGCAGGGGGTGATAACCATAAGAGGAGCACATCCTGAACAGCCGAGTCATAGAACGAGCCCTTAATGGACCTATGCCATGGCCAATGAGCCAACCCGCACGGTTAGCGATCGTTAGCGATCGTTAGCGAAGTGGATATGACATGGATCGGCATCCGTCCAAACTCCAGAGCGCTCCGCCAGCGGGTCGGACCTTTTTTGTGGGAGGCTGCCGTTGGACTGCTGGTGGGCCAGGGGCTTTGTTTGTTGACTAGAATTCTGCCAGTTTTATCTTAATGCCCTGGTCGATATGACTCGATGGTATAGGAAGAGATACCTTTAAAAGTTACGATATAAGACCAGATCACTACTGAACTAGGAAGTGGTACCAGCGGTGACGTTGTTACAGTGGCCCAGTTCATCCCACCGACATTCTTTTCGCACCCTGCCACACTAGTCTTCTCCTTAGCACGTCCTCTGGTATACTTCAAGCAGGGCTTGCGCAGGAGTACCGCCAAGCCAGCTAGCCAGCTTCACTATCCTCACTCATGACACAATCGGCACCGTTAGCGCAAGGTGTCTTACTCAATAGTAGGGACTAGAGCGTACAGGATTCGATATTAATCCGTGTCGGTTATATACCCACAAATGGCAAGGCCGCCAACGCATCGATAATAACGTCCTGTGCCACCAACGGCAAACAGCACACGCCTGGGAAACAAACGTGCCATTTTACTCCGTATATCGTTCTATATGGGCCTCAATAGCCCACGGGGTACCCACCCAGAGACACAAACACCTTTCTAAGCAGTTGGATTAAGGGACTGAGCAGGTACCCTGTACGACTAGACGGGCTCCCTGTGCGCCTATAACACCGCTTGATATAGAAGCTACGAAGACACATCAAGGAAGATACTGTTGATCATGCCCCCACAAGGAGCATGGGGCCGAACTCAGACATCTTCCTATGGCGCCGAGGCAAAATAAGCCTGATAGACTCGAGAATCCCAGATTGTACGCTGCCGTCCGGAGAGTTTACCCCCATTCCTCTTCCTTGTGGAGCTGGCGTACCGTGCTGCACGAGCCCGGGTGTCATATCATCCTTCCCCCCACATCCTCCAGTCCGACATTAAGTATATCTACCCCGAATGTAGACAGGTCAACAACGAACAGGGAAGTGCCTGGAACGCTGCATACCTAGTGCAGTGTGCTGAAACGACCCATCAGACAAACATGTTCTCTATCAACGAGCTGGTAATGAACCTGGGGTTGGCAATCATCATCCTGGGCGTCTCTCACCTTCTTTGGAACTACCTTTCGTCCCCGTTGAAGATCTTTCCAGGGCCATTCTGGGCTAGCTTTACCAATCTGTGGCGCCTCCAGGATGTATTCAGGGGCCGTTGTGATATCACACACAACCAGCTGCACCGCAAGTTTGGAACTGCGGTGCGGATGGGTCCCAACGTTCTCAGTCTCTCCGACCCTAGCCTCATCCCTCATGTCTTCAATTCGAAGAATCCGTGGATGAAGGTTCGTTTCCCTGACTTGCGTAGTAACCGATACTATCCTAACTAACCCAATCATCAGAGTAATATGTACAATGTGAACGACGTGATTGTCTCCGGCGTGCGCTTGAAGAACCTCTTCTCGAATCAAGATGAGAAATGGCACTCGACCTACATCCGGCCAGTGAAGGGGCTCTATTCAATGACCAAGGTGCAGGAGATGGAGCCTGGCGTGGATATGACCATTAACTTGTTCATGGATATACTGCGAGAGCGATTTGTGGAAAAGGGCCGCCCTTGCGACATGGCTGACTACCTTAATTTCTGTAAGTCACCGACGAAACGTCTTCCGTCAGCTCTACTGATCCGTGGGTCCCGATAGTTGCATGGGATGTTATGAGTGAAATCACTTTCTCTGAAAACCTGGGCATCCTGGAGGCTGGTTCGGACCATCAAGGCTTTCTAAGCCGATCGAACAAGAGTCTCGACTACTTCGCCCCAGTGAGATCAATCAACCTCCTTTGCGCCTGGACGCAGCTGACCCTTGCAGATCTCTCAGATGCCGGTCTTAGACTTGCTTCTAGACAAGAACCCGATCGTCCGTCTCGGTCCGCCTACCTTTGTCTGGGCTAATATTTTTAGTCTCGAGCAACTCCAGAAGCGCCTGAGCGGTGGCACTTCACCGAGCAACCACACGGACTTCCTTGACAAATTCTTGGAAACCAAGAAGAAGTACCCTGATCTCGTCAATGATAATACGGTCGTCGGCTATCTCTTGTCCAACACTTTGGCTGGTAGTGATACGACCGGCAGTACGATGTGCTCCGCGGTTTACCACATCCTGAAGCATCCTCGCGTCTATCGAAAGTTATGTGATGAACTGTATGCGGCCAAACTCCCTCTCCCAGCCAGGTGGAAGGACCTGCAGGGGCTCACCTATCTTGATGCCGTCATGCGTGAGTCCATGCGAGTTAACCCTGGTGTTGGCCTCATGCTCGAGCGGATTGTTCCTGAAGGTGGCTTTACTCTTCCCGACGGACGTTTCATTCCCGAGGGAACTATTGTTGGCATGAACCCCTGGGTGATCAACAAGAATGAGGCCGTCTTCGGGGCCAACACTGAGGATTTTATCCCCGAGCGTTGGCTGCCAAGCTCGGGTGAAAGCGAGGAAGCTTACCAAGCACGATTTTCTAAAATGAAGAGTACTGACTTCAGCTTTGGGGCTGGCCCCCGGATGTGTATGGGGCGATATCTATCCCAACTCGAAAGCTACAAACTCATTGCGACTTTGTTCAGTACTTTTGAGGTCAGTTTCCCCTCGGTTCCTGGTAAGACATTACTAACTGCGTATTTCAGATGGAGCTTGCTAGCCTCGATCACATGTGGCATGTCACCAACTCATGGTTTGTCAGACACGAGGATATTCCTGTCAAGATGCGGGAGCGTACGGACCTGGCAGTCAGCGCTTAACGTTGTATGTGGTTATGTAATTTCACGACTCGATTTCTGTTACGAGATGTGTATTTTGGACAATAGTGCATACGATCGCATGTTGCTCTACGATTAAATAATCCATCTGTGGGCAATCAAATTCTATTCCCTTTTGTTCTTCTTTCAATGACATGTCTATTGTGGTCGTGTAAAGGGGTGTCTTTCGGGCCTCTATCTAGCCCTAGGGGTCGACAGCTGGCTACAGCTTTTGGTCCTTTTCTCTGCGTTTCTCTTAACTAAGAAGATGGTTCGCATCAGGCGATTGTGGGTCAAGACCCCACCTGTCAGATGCACGTTAATATGACATATCAACAGGAATATTAAACTGTGGTGCCTGAAGTTGGAGAAGATCTTCATAGCTGCTTTGGAGATACAGTCTCGGCGGCCGACGGCTGCTCTGGACGTCCATGGATGCCGGACGAACAGGGGGTCAGACCTGAAAAGATTACCATCTTTTCCTGCATTCGGACAGGAGCATAAGTGGTGGAGAAAGTTGCTCGTGTGTGGGTCAAACATCATCGTATAAGACGTGCAGTCGATGTGGAGCGCTTCGCGGAACAAGGATAATGATTCTCTGAAGCCGCTAGACAAATCGTACTTTTGTTAACTGGTGGATACCAGAGGCCTTTCGGTTATGCTACGATGAGATCAGCCATGGTTTCCTCCATAGATCCACTCAGCAACCCGGTAGTAACTGTGGTGATAACTCACAGCGCGCATGCAGATCATAGGGAATAAAATATATGCATTGGCGAGGAACATCGAACACTCTCTCGACTATTCAGTGATGCTGCCAAACAAAGTCTCTACTCGTACTTTAATGTGATACTCCCCCTTAAGTAGACTTCACATGGGAGCAATCTGCGTATAGCCAAGGATGGGACTGGGTAGAGTAACAGTTTGACATTTTCATGTCTTTAGCTTTGTTGTCCTCATGTTATATTAATTATTATTACGCCTTTTCCTGCATGGTTATGCCGCCAATGGCTAGCTTGACGCATACCTATAATTAAGGTGCGCTCTGGTCACCTTGCACGTGTTGATCTACGTAGAGTATCCAAGCCCTCCAGCACTGAAGCACCACAGCTAGTGATTTCCTCTTGAGGCTTCAGGTATATTGCTCAACTACTAGCCTCCAGATAACGGACCGGGCTGTCCGTTTACTCGTACGAAACATCATCGCATGTGGGATTGAAATGAGTCTCAGACAGGACGAAAGTAATCTCGCAGTCTAATGCAGCCCCCTCTTGGCCTTAGAGCGGCGTTTGAACTAGGTTTCCTGTCTCACCCTGTGCAGAATAGGACAACGCCGGAGTTCATTACAGTCAATCGGACGGTAGAGCCGGACGGCAAGTTGAGCGCCGTGTATCGTCTCCTGAACCTTCCCTATTAGCACCAGAGCCTTGATCTCGTGTCGCGCCAGCTTGCTCCACGACGTTTGCAACAGCGCCAGTGTCAGCTGCCACAGACTGCACCATTCTCTGCAATCCGATTGTGTATGAGTTTGTATTGCTCTACATGAAGAGTCAATCTGCGGATCGAATCCATGCGACACTCTGCATATGGTACATTGCCTCTGCTAATCGGGATGCAAGGAGTGAACATGGGTATCCCTCAAATTCTATATACAGCTAGACAGAAATGGGAAAATAAGTATGTACACGCATCCCATACCATGAGGTCGATCTAACACATCATATCGGTCGATACCAGGCATCTTCAACAAACTCCCACCGCAGGGTGCATCTCACAGGCGTTGCGATACCGATGGCATGTGATATTATCACAGGAAAAGGTTAGGTGTCATATTGGAATCTCCGAAAAAAGCCCTATGATATTTCTCCCACACGCATTCTAAATGTTTCGCTCACACTACTCAGGGAGCCGTTCACCTGCGCTGAGTCACTCCAGGCCGACGAGCTCACAGTTTCTCCGTGAAGTGAATGGTGACCAAACTGTCATTATATGGATCTCCGTTGCAAGAGCTCTGTGCGTTTCAGGAGTAGCGACCTTTCGACTTTGCAACCAAGATTAGTTGCATCTCTGGAGAGGTTGCACCGGACTCATGAGAAGAACCCAGTCATTCATTGGGAATGCTACCCAGGATATATCCACATGCGCAAAGCCTCATATGTGTGATACAGAACTGGATCGTTCGGTCGGAGTGTAGCTCGATAGGGCATGCACCGGAACGGCAGCGACATGAACCAATCTTCCCAGGATTGCATACTCCATCTTCAGCTTCACACTGTAGAACATGGCTTTCAGGGATACATGGATCCGAAAGAAGCCTGCATATTGCACCCCCACGACCGCCGCGTCCATGCCGATCATTACAAAATTAATCAGTAGGAGATGGACCAGGATGCCTTTATACTGGCCCCGTGGCGTTAGTTTCAGCATCTCAACTGCGGCCCAAGCATAGATGGCCGATAATACAATCTCTTGCACAGAGAAGGCCACTAGCTGAATCCGTTCGAAGATGTCAAAGGCCGGATTGAAATCGGGATGGTTGTCGGAATGCGCGCCAAACTCAAGGACCGACGCAGGGACATGAAACAGAATGGCATCTGTGATAATCATGATCAAGGTCCAGCGCAAAATCCTGCGGCTGTGAACGACCAGATGTAATCGAGACCACAGAACCATGGATTGGCCGGTGACCATGCCCCACCATCCAACAACCTCGAGGGCGACAGAGAAGTAACTGGGGAAGATTTTAAAGATGAGTAGCGCATAGCCCAGTGCGAAGGGGACGATGCTGATCGAGGCTATCACCAGACTCCAAAAATAACATCCCCCATATCGTTTGAATGTGGTGAAACACAAGACGACGAGTTCGATGGCATTATACCATGCGATGCCGATAAACGTCGCCACGGTACATTCCAGGGCGAACTCCGCACTGGACTCGGTGCGAAAAGGATTATAGTGACTGTTCTTTCCACTGTCCGACATCAGGGCATGATGAGCGCTGTCGGGAATCCCCTGTTCCACCGCTATCGGCATACAGCGACATGAAGACCCATCGACGAGCGCGATGAGAGAAAATGAGACAAAGGATTTGTTTCACGGAATTGAGCTGGAGCTCCTAAATCAACGCGTCTGTCTTGGCGTTAAGACTAAACGTGGCCCCTGAAAGCTACTGCTCGACTTGGGTCCGTGGTTGGACCGCGGCCGGCTGTCCACGGAAGGATGCGAAACGCAGAGACTTCCTGGAATTTCCGATAGCTTGGCACAAGCTGCATGCTCATTGCTGGCACGTTCTGGCGGCGACTCGATCAGCAGCGCGGGGACTGAATCCTGGGGCTGCTGGGCCATGGAAACTGGGGATCCAGTTTAACCTTATCTTCGGAGCACTTCTCTGGGCGACTCCAACCCAATAACACTCTCTCACACGTCATTTCTATCAGGAAAGGATCTGCAAGTGTGTTTCGTCTGTTGCCACCGTGCTCAAATTTCACTCCTGGCACGTAGAATGCATCACTCTCTGGTAGAGACGTGATGAGCAGCTCTTGCAGATGTCTGGCCGGGTCAAGGACCAAGAGCTCCCAGGTAGCCGTGTAGGTCGACTTCGTATATCATAGATACTCATCGGACATGCTTGAAAAGGCCTAGGGGGACGCTATTTCTAGGAAATGGTTCTCTATATTTGGGCTCCGGTACGTCCGCCAAGGGAAATAAGAGGAAGAAAAGAAAATCCAAATAAACATTACGTATTCTTCAAGCCCTAGCTAGCCATGCACCTAGGGAACGATGCAATCCATCTATCTACCTTGCCGATCAGTGAACAACAGTCGACTCCACCGTCTGGGTTGTAAATCGATGCGCTCCGCCAAGATCCGGAGACTCAATAGCAACCCGTTTCTCGGACTTCCCAGAATGCTCTTCGAACATCTCGTCCACGCTTGTATTCTTATTCCATGAAGAGGGATCCCCAAATCGATCTGCAGCCAGGCCAGCGATGCTCATGCGCGCTTGGATATCTGGTATTTTATGTCGGACAGCCAGCAGGGCGAGCACAACGAAAGTCAAGCCACAGAGTACGTACAACAAACTGACCGCGACCAACGTGATGAAAGGAGCCTTCGGGAGCCGCGCCACGAGAAATGACTCTCGATCCTGTGCCGCTATGGCTGGTCGTGCATCGACTGCGTCCGCCCCCAGAGCGACGGTGACTTTACTAAAGGACTCGGCAATCTGGTCCACAAACACCTGGGCAGAACCACTCAAAATGGCTGCTCCCGCCGTCTGTTCGATCGTAGGATACCAGTTGTTAAGGTGTGAGATGCTCGTCTGCCAGACGTTGCTCGTAGAGGTGTTGCTGATAGTTGGGACAAACCGCGTTACCGTGTTGTTCACCCGGTCGTACTCAATGTCGTAGATCGTCGTGTTGCAGCCCAGGATGAACGCATATGGGCCGTGAAGGCTCTTGAGAAACTCAGTGGAGTTCGGCGCTTCTCCACCGGCCAGACTCATGATGTTGCCCGCCGCAAAGTAGTATGGGTTGCCCACACCCTTGTTGTACATGCTCTGGCTCATATCTTCGGCCATGCTGGCGTTGGTGAAGAATGCCGTTTTCAAGCCAGTCTGAGTGAAGCTACCGGCGAAGTCACTGGAGCAGTTGTATGTGACGACCGACGCGTTGTTTTTCAATTTACACTTCGTCGATATCAGTTCGCATTGTGTCCTCGCTCCGTATGTCTTCGCCGTATAGTCTCGGTTGGGCAGCGATGCCCCTTCCGGTGCTTGCAAGTAGGCGTATTTGTTCGCCTGTGGGTCGGTATATGTCGAGACAGTCGCCTGGTCGGACATGTCGTTCAGAACCCCCAGAGACACCGTTCCGTTTCTGAGGAAACTGCCTGTAACCGCTAGGGAAACGCTACATAAAATTTGCTCTCCGCTTTGCGCTGCCACCGAGTTGTTGCTCGTAAGACATTCAGGTATGAGTCCAAAACTATAGTCCGTCTGGTTGCTGACCGGTTTGACTTGAGTGAATTCCACAGTAGTGGTGGTAAGATGCAGCCAGGTATCCCCTAGGGCGACCAGCAACCTCTCCGGGTGTCAGAACATCTCAAGCAACCTTCAGCAGATCGGCAGAACTTACCCAAGCAGTATTGCGAGTACGGCAACTGATGCAGCGGTGGTCAAGGGAGGTGTCAGCGGCGCACGCGTCTTTCTCCACGAAACGAGATAGACGAGCCACCCCCAAATCGCGGCGAGAGTGCTTCCATCGAGAAACTTCAACGTCAGTGCCAATTGGTATGGGGTCGGCAGGCGATCCACGCGAGAACTCTGGATATCTTGGAAGAAATGTCGTGCTATGGGAAACGAGGCGAGGGTTAACATAAACCCGGACAGCATCGTAGCGACAGAGCTAGCCCAGGAAGCTAAGAACAGAAGGACACTCGAGTTCATATTGACATAAAGTGCGCTTGCTTCGTCATTCTCCGCGGGCATGCGAAGGCTCTCGAAAGGAGGATCTCCATGGCTCACACGATACTTGAAGACCAGCACCAGGAATGCCACGGTGAGTGCGAGGATGGGGATCGTGACCACGAAAGAACTCCACGTAATCAACACCGCATGGTTGGTATTTCTCGAAGACGAAGCACCATCATCACTTGGAGAACTGGACAATGGGATCGAAGCGCCCTCGACCGGCGTCTTGCGGTCTGTCTTCGCCATGAGAAGGAGTATAGCTCACTGGAGATTTAGATGAGGAAAGTGTATACGGCGACGACAACGTGACTTCGGGGCCCCTTGTTGATTTTATTGCAAGAGCCCAACGAGCCCAACGAGCCCAACATCTCCATGCGTTGAAAAAAAGGAGAAAAGAAAAGAGAAAAATATCCGAGCGCTTGTTGTGTTGGTCATTCCTGAGGCTGACGTGGGGGCCAAAGGATTGTTGAGGCTATGTTGCTAACCTTCGTATACAAAAGTCTCTAATCACAGCCCGAGCTTCGGAACTCCGCCACGCGAGCTAAATCACTTTAATGCATTCCTAATCTCGCTTAAGTCTGTACGCCTGAAACGTCAAAGCACACAGCCTGGTCTTAGACCCTGACAAGGCACTCTGAAGAAAGACTGGGAAGGGTCCGATCCGATCTCGCCCCACGGCCCCAGTCCAGCGCTTCAAGGCAGACCATTCATCCAATAACAAGCTACTGGTCGTGGCACTAATGCGATAAGTCGAAGCTTTAATAGGCTTAAAAAGGCTTAGGCATAGAATGGTAATTTGACATGTAGTGTGCATGACTGGGAGGAAAAATGCCCAAGCGTAGGGAGAGATTATGATACAGATCAATGCAGAATTATTCCACCAACTCGAATTTCACTGACTTATCAGTTCCAAATGTGTCCTTCCAGCTCTCCCACAGTCGTTCCAACTCTCTCATGTATTGCTGGTGTAACTGATTGATATATTTCTCATCTGGGTCCCATCGTTGTTGAGTGACGGGAATGGGATTTCCCACGACGACATTCAACGGCTTACGATAAGGGCAGAAGATGTTGAAGCGGCCAATAGAGAACGCTACTTTGTGTCCAACACACCATTCCCACAGTCGTGCGGCGAATCTGAGCACAGACTTTGATTCGACGTCCACGCGGTCGAAGATATCATTCTCCCCAAACGCCACCACAGGCACGATGTCGGCACCAGTTTCCACGGCGACTCGGATAAAACCCTTACGAATTTTGATAACGACCCCCATGGTGCCCGGTCGAGCGACGTTGTATTCACGACTCCCTCCCACAGTAATGGTAATGGCACGGCCCATCCCCCGACCGTCATGGCCTCCCCGTGTCAAATGCCTGATGCATGAAGTTCGAGAGACACCACTGAGCCCAGCAGAGAGGAGATATTCTCGAAGCAGTGGTTGAGAGAAGACACTATCCTTCATCAACAGGGTATTGGTAATCCCAGGGAAGAGCTGGGAGAACCCGGCCACGTCTGCGGCGAATGCGCCGACAGCTCCTCGGATAGCGACACCATGCGGATGGTAGCCGAAGATATACTTCCTCCGCGGTGAGAGAGATGCCGAACGATAGAGTCTCAGGGGAAAGTAGGATATAAGGATTTTCCAGATCCAAGACCTCCGGAACTTATCATTCCGTAGAGGAAGGGTACCCGCTTGGTGTGCTTTGGAAAAATACTTGATATAGATGATGTAGATCAAAACCAGAAATCGCAAACGGGGTATCAGAAGAAGTGAATATCCAAGCAAGGGTAAAATGAACCAAGTGTTGCACAGCGCGGTCATCAGGGCTGCCTCTGCAAGATCGTTAAGGAAGGGCCTATCACTCGGGGATTAGTTACAACCGAAAGGCACGACAATGGTGATATGGCTGGGGAGATCTACTTAGCCGTTGGTTTGCCTGCTGGCTGAGACAATTGGACTGACTGGAGAACCATTCCAGAACGGTTCCGGATTTCGCTGAGCTGACACTGAGTATCATCGATCTTCACATCTGGAATGTCCATGGCCATTAGGTCCGGATTGCGCGCCAGCTCAACGATCTTTTCCGCGCCTGCCACACGCCCTTCCTTTTTCTGACATAGCTTGGCAAGGTCAAGCGCTTTCTCTTTATATGAGCAATCACTCATGACCTTCAAAAGGGCATTGCTTAACTCCCGGCCATTAATATTCGGGGCTTGGGTTTTGTTGCCGTACACCCCAATTCCAAGCCACTCCGCTCGGGCAGCATTCTCATAGCAATCCTGCCATGCCGGTAGAACCACATGGGGGACACCATTTCTATGCCTGTTAGCGGCTACCCTGTATGAAGGGTAGGCGAAGGAGAACTCACTGGATGGCCTCGTACCAAGAGTTCGCTCCACCGTGGTGAACGGAGCAGATAATCTGCCCAGTCTGAAGCATGGCCATGGGTTCAACGGAGAACCATGGATGAATACGAACGCGATCGGCTTCAGTCTCCTGCCTCAGTGGCTGGAT